GAAAGATTTAAAGTGTGGGAAGAGAAGAAACAAGTGGCTCAAAACGTCGGTGATTGAAATCAATCAAGATCTCTAAAACAAAGGAGACTCAGTTGGGGCAGGCAGTCTGTCTCTTACCTAGTCATGTGGTTGATAATGTGTTTATTCAAGGTAGCCATCATTGAAGTGGATGCCTCTTTAAAGTGGGTGCCTTGGCAATCAGATCTTAAGTCAGGCACTTTCATTGCAAAAAAGAAAGAAGACAATTGTCAGGGCTTATGCAAGGATGCCCACTCTTGCCACTTTTATTCAACATATTATTAGAACTCCTAGCCACAATAATTAGGCAAGAAAAAGAAATAAAGGCATCCAAATTGGTAAGGAGGGGGTAAAACTGTCACCATTTGCAGATGACATGATATTATATGTAGAAAAAAAGAAAAACCCATTAGAACTAACAAATGAATTCAGTAAAGTTGCAGGATACAAAATTAACATGCAGAAATCAGTTGCTTTTCTATATACTAATAATCTATCAGAAAGAGAAATTAAGAGAATAATTCCATTTATAATTGCATCAAAAATAATAAAATATCTAGGAATAAATTTAATCAAGGAGGTGAAAGTCCTGTACTCTGAAAACTGTAAGACATTAATGAAAGATATTTGAGATGACACCAGCAAATGGAAAGATATGCCATGCTCATGGATTGGAAGAATTAATATTGTTAAATTAATATTGTTCAGGGGCACCTGGGTGGCTCAGTTGGTTGAGCGACTGCCTTCGGCTCAGGTCATGATCCTGGAGTCCCGGGATCGAGTCCCGCATCGGGCTCCCTGCTTGGCGGGGAGCCTGCTTCTCCCTCTGACCCTCCTCCCTCTCATGCTCTCTGTCTCTCATTCTCTCTCTCAAATAAATAAATAAAATCTTTAAAAAAAAAAAAAGAAAAAAAGAAAAAAAAATTAATATTGTTCAAATGTCCATACCCAGAGCAATCTACAGATTCAGTGCAATCTCCATCACAATACCAATGACATTTTTCACAGAACTAGAGCAAAGAATCCTAAAATTTGTGTGGAAGCACAGAAGACCCCAATTAGCCAAAAGAGTCTTGAGAAAGAACAAAGCAGGAGGTATCATACTTCCTGGTTTCAAGCTATACTGCAAAGCTATAGTAATTAAAACTATATGGTACTGACATGGAAACAGACACATAGATTTTATTAATTTTTATTTATTTATTTGACAGAGAGAGACACAGCAAAAGAGGGAACACAAGCAGGGGGAGAGGGAGAAGCAGACTCCCAGCTGAGCAGGGAGCCCGATGCGGGGCTCGATCCCAGGATCCTGGGATCATGACCTGAGCCGAAGGCAGACGCTTAACGACTGAGCCACCCAGGCGCCCCAACAGACACATAGATTAATGGAAGAGAATAGAGTCCAGAAATAAACTCTCACATATATGGTCAGCTAATCTATTCCAGAGGAGGCAAGAATATAAAATGGGAAAGAGACCAGACTCTTCAATAAATGATGCTGGGAAAACTGGACAGCTACATGCTAGAGTGAAACTAGACCACTATCTTACACCATATATAAAAATAAATTCAAAATGGATTAAAGACTTGAATGTAAGGCCTAAAATCATAGAACTCTTAGAAGAAAACATAGGCAATAAGCTCTTTGACATCAGTCTTAGCAATATTTTTCCAGTCAGTCTCCTCCAGCAAGGGCAATAAAAGCTTAAATAAACAAATGGGATTACATCACAATAGAAAGCTTTTCACAGCAAAAAAGACCAGCAACAAAATGAAAAGGCAACCTACTGCATGAGAGAAAATATTTTCAAATCATATATCTGATAGGGGGTTAATATCAAAATATATAAATAACTTACATAAATTACTAGCAAAAAAACAACCTGATTGAAAAATGGGCAGAGGACATGAATAAACATTTTTCTAAGGAAGACATACAGATGGTCAATAGCACATGAAAAGATGCTCAACATTGCTGATTGTCAGGGAAATGCAAATCAAAACCACGTTGAGATATCACCTCACACCTGTCAGACTGGCTATTATCAAAAAGATGAAAAAAATAACAAGTGTTGTTGAGGATATGGAGAAAAGGGAATTCTTCTACTCTGTTGGTGGGAAGGTAAATTGGTGCGACCACTATGGGAAACAGTATGGAGGTTCTTCAATTTAATCCTTTTGCATGTAGATGTCCAATTTTGCCAACACCACTTATTGAAGAGTCTGTTTTTTCCCCCTTTTAAATTCTTGCCTCCTTTGTCAAAGATTAGTTGACCATATAAGCATGGGTTTATTTCTGAACTTTCTATCCTGTTCAGTTGATCTATATGGCTAATTTTATGCCAGTACCATACTATTTTGATTATTATAGTATATCTTGACATCTGGGATTGTGTTACTTCCAGTTTTGTTCATCTTTTTCAAGATTGTTTTGGCTTTTTGGGGTCTTTTGTGATTCCACACAAATTTTGAATAATTTGTTCTAGTTCTGAGAAAAAATACTATTGGTATTTTGATAGGGATTGCACTGAATCTAGATTGCCATGGGTAGAATGGACATTTTAACAATATTAATGCTGAGATGCCTGGGTGGCTTAGTTAAGTGTCCAACTCTTGATTTTGGCTCAGGTTATGATCTCAGGTTTGTGAGATCGAGCCCTGTGTCAGGCTCCACACTGGGTGTGGAGCCTGCTTAAGATTCTCTCACTCTCCCTCTCTCAAACAAACAAACAAACAAACAATATTAATTCTTCCAATCCATGGGCATGGAATATCTCTTTGTGTGTTGTCTTCAGTTTCTTTCATCAGTGTCTTATAGTTTTCAGTGTAGAGATCTTTAACTTCCTTGGTTAAATTTATTCCTAGGTATTTTATTCTTCTTTGTGAAATTGTAAATGGGATTGTTTTCTTAATTTCTCTTTCTTCTATTTCATTATTAGCCTGAAGAAATGCCACAGATTTCTTTCTTTTTTTGGGGGGGGGAGAGAGAGAGAGTGAGGAGGGCTGTGGGGGGAGAGGCAAAAGGAGAGGGAGAGAGAGAATCTTAAGCAGGCTCCACATCCAGCACAGTGCCTGATGTGGGGCTTGATCTCACGACCCTGAGATCATGACCTGAGCCAAAATCAAGAGTCAGATGCTTAACCAACTGAGCCACCCAGACACCCCACAACAGATTTCTTTATATTAATTTTGTGTCCTGCACCTTCTTTTGGAATGATGAAACTGTTCTAAAATGTATTGTGTGGATGGTTGCACAACTCTGTGAATACCAAAAACCACTGAATTTTACACTTTACAGGAGTGAATTTTGTTTATAAAATTCATAATTACCATCATTAAATACATACCAGCTGCTCACTCCCAGTCACTGTCCTTTGAGGCACTGTGGCACATGGATGAGAAAGAGAATACTTGTTCTTTGTGCTCTGGGAATGTCTCAATGGGTGTTCTTAAATGGAAAGATGAAATAGATCCACAAATAGTTTAATCAAGGTGTTGCAATACTCAGTGCTAATCTCTGGGCATAGACCACACTCAGAAAGATCTCACCACCTCTGGATGCCAGCTTTAGGAATTCAGAAAGATTTTGAAATGTGGACTGCTCTAATATTTATATAACTTAGACATAGTATTATTTATGGCTTACAGTACTGTGAGGTACCTGGGGGCAGGAGCTATGCCCTGTGCTCATTTTGATTCCCTTGCTTAGCGTTGTGTCTGGTCTACTGGCTGGTGATTGAATTTCGAAGTGTCCTGGTTTGTTCCTAGGACAAAAATGCCTTCAAGCTTATGGCTGCCTATTCTGACCAGCCTGAGGGTTGGCCCTGTGGGGAAGGTGTTGCAGAATTCACCAACTGTCCTCATGCAACTGTTTCTTTTCTCATAACCGGTAACTATTTTGTTTCTTTGGTGTTTTCACTCTGATTTTGGTTCAAATGGTGACTTGGAATAATATGTGGGTACTTCTGGAGTGTTGTGCTTTCTTTCCTGGTAGTATACTGAAGACTTTGGGTTCCTGGGTCAGTGAGATTTAGGAAAACAAAAGGTGGAATTAATCTCACTTTCTTCTTCTTCTTCTTTTTTTTCTTTTGATCATATTTATCAAACAGCAGTGCTATAGATTTTGTGTAGCTTATGGATCTTTGCTGTAATAAGAAATTGTTTTTCTTTTTTCTTTTTTTTTCTCTGTGAAGGTACTTTATGTTGATTATTTCTGTTAAATATCCTTGGCTTGCACTGGACTTTTCTTTGTGTTGATTTTTTGCTTCATTTTCTTTTTTTTTTTTTTTCTCCATTTCCCACGCTGTTCAGTTACTGGATGCCAGAAGAACCAAGGTTTGTCCACTCTTTGCGGCTTGTTTGTTTTGTTCTGCACAGCCTCACCTCCTTGTGTTTGTGTCCGTCCCTGTCTGCATTTGTTCCCTTTTGCTTGCAGATGCAGTAATCCTGTTTACTAAACCTGTTCACAGCTTTATTTGTAAAAAATAAAGTCTTCGTTTGTGTCTACTTGTAGTGGATGCTATTATTTTCATTTTTTTTAAATGGAAATGCATTTATCATGGGAAAAATGGATAGTAGAATAAAGAACACCTTAGGAAACAAGGAATACTGAGTCTGGAGCATTACGGGTGTAAAGAAGGTGTGTTTGTGAGACTTTCCCTTCTAATCCTTTCCACTTCCTCAACTGAAACTCTGTAGATGTATAATTTCCCTCGTGACTGACACTAATATATTGTTTCTGTGTATGTGTACATTTCTCTTCTCCTAAGACATTCAGAAAGCATCATTGAATTAATTTCCCCCTCTCCATGTGCTGTCCCATGCTTCTGAAGTCACCCTGGAGGACTTCACGGCTGGCCCTCTGGACCTACCTCATGATTAACATCCCATCTTCATGGTGTGGTAGTAACAAATAGCACTTGGCATCTCCATTGACTTTTTCCCCTTCTTTCTCCTCTCCTGCTCCATCTGTCTCATCACAGCACCTGCAGTTGACAATCCAAGCCCTTCAAGATGAGCTTCGGACCCAGAGAGACCTCAATCACCTCCTGCAGCAAGAGAGTGGCAGCCGTGGAGCTGAGCACTTCACCATTGAGCTGACTGAGGAGAACTTCCGGCGGCTCCAGGCTGAGCATGACAGACAAGCTAAGGAGCTGTTCCTTTTAAGGAAGACCTTGGAGGAAATGGAGCTGAGAATTGAAACACAGAAACAGACCCTCAACGCCCGAGATGAGTCGATTAAAAAGCTTCTTGAGATGTTGCAAAGTAAAGGTTTGCCTTCTAAAAGTCTCGAGGATGACAATGAACGGACACGGCGGATGGCAGAGGCTGAGTCTCAAGTCAGCCACTTAGAAGTGATTTTAGACCAGAAAGAGAAGGAAAACATACATCTTAGAGAGGTAAGGACATTCACTCTATTTCCCCAAAGCCGTATTTTACAAGTTAGAATATGTTACCAAGTTATTTTAACAGGTTGGAAGATTGCAGCCTTAACAAAATTTCCTGGCATCCGTTTTATAATCTTCCTGTCTGCTTATCACCTTTAAGCTGGAATTTTGCATTAGTTTTTTTTTCTCTGCTCACTACACGTATGTTCCATTGTTACTCGACACGTATTCGGGATCCAAGTATGTGCAGCACGTGCCAACTCTAAGGTGGTTTACAATTGCTTTCCTGCAGATGGCCATAGTTTCAGGGTTTTTTAAGTACAATACTAAGTTTTAGATGTTTATCAAATACATCTCTCTAAAGGAGCAAAACAAATAGGGGATTAGCAAAACAATGAACCTAGATATTTTTATGGCTGAATTGGGGCAGCATTTGCAGAAAATAAAGCATTTGGATATTTCTGGGAAGAATGGTAAAATGTGCAGACCAATTTTGAACATTTAAGTTTAAGATAATCTTCGTCTGCATTTTCTTTTCTCTAGGACAAACTGTCCCAGGTTTTCTGAGTATGCATTTTGCACTTAGTGGATTAAATCATTTGAAGCCCTTCAGAGGCTCTCCAGCCTGCCACCACTATTGAATATTGGGGTGCTCAGATATCTGAGGATATGTAGTTGGATAGAGCTTAGAAAAAATGTGGGTGACAGCCAATCTTTGAAATTTTTACAGCAGTTCCTTGCTGCTGTGGTGGATGTGGATCTCAAAAGTACCATGTAGGCAAAATGCTGAGGGAGACGCAGATCTCACAGAAAATAAGAAGCAATAAAATGGCATTAATTAGGGCGCCTGGGTGGCTCAGTTGGTTAAGTGACTGCCTTCGGCTCAGGTCATGATCCTGGACTCCCGGGATCGAGTCCCACATTGGGCTCCCTGCTCAGCTGGGGGTCTGCTTCTCCCTCTGACCCTCTTCCCTCTCATGCTCTCTGTCTCTCATTCTCTCTCTCTCAAATAAATAAAATAAAAAAAAATAAAATGGCATTAGTTATATTTTTAAAATATTCTATAGCAATAAATAAAAATTCCAAAAGATATTTGCTTTCAGACCAAATTAGATTTCTTGGCATTATATACCTTTTCGGATGGGCAGTTCTTGTGAGTCATTTTTTTGGTTGTTTAGAAAACATGCTCCCATGATGGGGCTTGCTAATGCAGATGCTCCCAGGAGTTTTCTCTGATGTAGATTGTATTTGCTTAGAACATTTGAATAGACTTTTGTATCTTTAGACTTAATGTCCTTCATGCTTATTCTCCCTTGATTTATTTTCATGAGACATTAACAACATGCTTGGGAAACCACATGGCTTGGTTTTAGATTGAGATGCTTAAAGAGATGTTTTGTTGGGACTGGGTCTTCCGATCCATATTCCAAGACCCTGAATGTCATGGTTAGGCTTCTAATGATTTGTACTTCTTTGAAATCATACCCTTGTCTAAATCCATGTCCTTGAGTATAGACTGAACCTAGTGACTTGATTCTAAACAATAGAATATGCTGAAGGTAGTGGGATGCCAATGTGACTTCCATGATTAGGTTATATAAGACTGTTATTTCCATCTTGTAAGCAGACTATTGTGTTCTCAACTTGCCTGCTTTGATGAAGCAAGCTGCCATGTGAGAGAGGCCCATGTGGCAAGGGACTGAGGGTAGCCTCTAGTCAACACCCAGTGAGGAGCTGAGACCCCCACTCAAACAGCCACAAAGAACTGAAAATTGCCAACAACCACTTAGCGCGTTTGGAAGTGGGTCCTTTCCCAGTGCAACCTTCAGATAAGATGACAGGCCCTGGGCTGACACCTTGCTTGCATCTTTGTGAGAGACTGTGAAGCAAAGGACCCAGCTAAGCTGTGCCTGGATTCCTGACCCACAGAAACTGTGAGATAATAAATGTGTGCTGTTTTAAGCTGCTGAATTTAGGGGTAATTGGTTACACAGCAATAAATAACCAATAGAGTGGAGCATAAACTAATGTCTTCCTGCCTTACTCCCTAGACTTTACATTTAGTTTACAGAAGAGAAGAAATAACTACTGGCAGTAATCACTTGCCGGTAAAGCAACTGTGGATTTTGAAATTTTGATTGTGTTATCTTAGAACTGTGGCTGGAGATTGCCATAGTTGAAAAAAGCTGCTGCTTTATTTTGGGTGCCAAGGGATCAAGTTGCATGTACAGCCGGGCAGTGATTCCAGAGAAACCTCTATCTGCAGCATTGACCTTGACTTCATGTTGGGGTCTTGTGGTCAGGGCAGAGTCACTATTTTTCTGTTATTAGATTCTGCTCATTGGTAGCACTAGGTAGATGGTGCCTTGATACTGTTGTGCGGATGCCTCCACTTAAATGAATCTAAACAAAATTCAATTTGTGTTTTACAAGATTAATTTGCCCTCACAGTGATCTGGCATGGAAATAGATCATGTTCAGAGCCTTAACCATCAGTCTGAGAGCCCACAGAGAGTGGTACAGAAAATTCAGCCCAACACATCCAGCTAGTTTCCTTGAGCATCAGATGAAATCAGTGGATTGCCTTTTTCTTGGCTTATCAAGAAGGTGCATGTGGAAAAGGTGTCTCTATATAAAAATCTCATTTTAAACTTAACTCAACAAAAAGACTTGGAGGCCTGAAAGGACGTTCCCCAAGAGAAGGATTGTACTGGCTTCTGAGAACCATTTCTTACATTTTCAGAAATTTTGTGAGCCTGCTTTTAAACCATTGATAACTTGAAATTAGTCATGGTGGGAATATTTATACCATGGAAATCAGCAAATGCTACCCCCAGGGCCTACGCCTCTGCCACCCCATCCCTAAAGCCCATTTACCAACACATCTCTGAATAAATGCCATGAAATGTTTACCCACAATACAGCAAGAAAAGGCAAGTTAAATAGTGCAAGAATTATGAGTGCCTTAACCACTCATCATTCCTTAGAAGTTTTCATTACAGCATCTGTATAGATGCTTATGTTTCAAACACTTCAAAGAATGCTCTCATTTATTCATATTTAACTCCCACAACTACCTCATGCATTCATTTATCCATCCATTCAATGAGCACTTACTGAGGATCTGTTTTGGGATAAAGCAATCATAACTAATAAAGTTTGACTTCATCGTGCTTATATTTTGTGGGGATGAAACATAATTTAATAGTTAAACAGAGAAGTATCATGAAGAAAAGAAGACGATGAAGAACTAGTGACTTGGGTGGGGCCAACTTGATATTGGGTGATTAAGGAAGGCCTCTTGGAGGGGGTGATATTGTGAACTGAGACCTGAATGACAAGAAGGAACCAGCCATGTAAAGCTCTCAGAAGACTGTTCCAGTCATGTGGAAAGACCCATGCCTGGGAGGTAGGTGCTGTTATTTGGCCCATTTTACCTGGGGGAACTGAGGAACAGGTGACACTAAGAAACTTGCTCAGCTTCCCAGTGGTGAAGCTGGTATTCGAATTGGGCTGACTCCAGAGTTTCAGCCATTAAACCATTTCATGAAATCCCTTTTCTAGAGGAATCTTTCCCAAAATGTGCTCTTCAGACCAGCCATTCTGTGGGATGCTGATAATGCGCTATGAGAGAAAAAGGGCTGCAGGGCCAAATGAACTTGGGAAAATGCTGGATTCTGTAGAGTTTACTGTAGGACTTCTTAGATTCCTTAACATGCAAGTGTGCATCAGTCATTCCCAGGAAGGGGAAGGTTCTCAGGCTTATTTAACTTGCTTTTGTCTTGCTGCACTGGTGTTCTTTGTAAAAACACTTTGGAAAAAAGCTATGCTGGAAAATAAAAAGTGTGCTTTTAACTTGTGACCTGCAAAATATGTAAAAATATACAAATAGTTGTTTCCCATGGCCAGGTAACTGGGTAATTTCCTCCATTAGTTATTCTAGAAGGCAAAGTTTATTATAAGCTGTTTCCATATTCTCTACTGAGTTTTAGAATGTTCTTCTGTCAGGGTATTTTTTTTTACATTTTAGTGGAAAAATGCAGCTGACTGCTTTTGGTATTAAAGCAGTAAGAATAGCCCAGCTTGAATAAAGAAGTAGCCTGACCTCTGTTAATTTAAATGAATCTAAAACAGAATTTAAAATGTACTTGAGGTTTTAAGTTCAGTGTGTTCTGATTTCTTTTCCATTTTGCACGGTTCAACCTGGTTTGGGGCTAGATGGTGTAATACTGGAGAATGGAGTGCTAGTGGTTTTATGATTCATTCTCAGGCAGAGGTGTTGGGCCTCATATAAACCCCATCTCCTGGAATACTGGTCTTGTTTAGCCTATTGTTTGAGGAGATTTTGAGTTGGCAGGAGTTGCACATGGGGAGGGTTGGGTTGCTTTAGTATCTTGTTATCTTTTGGTGGTCTGGAAAAGGCTGAGGGTGAAACCACTTCTTTGCCTGGCAGGAAACAACAACAAAAAGACTATGATCTCAACTTATTTGGAAGACCAAAACCATTGCCCAAGAACTACAACTGATGTGCTAATGTGAGCCGAAGTGTTGGCTGAAACACAGCATTACTCACTAGTGTCGTGGGATGCTTTTGCATACAGGTTGATTTGATAAGACGTTATTGGATGTGGTAATAATTTACCTTGTTCTGTCGCTTTTTCTGCACAGAACATATTTTTCCCTGTAAAGGTTTTGGTAATCAAGTACCCCAAATACTATTGATTTCATTAAAGAAAAAGTAGGCTTATATGCCAGATTCTCCTATATTCAATTCACTCTCCTTAATATTTCCTTGGCTGGTCCTTAGAAGAGAGTCAGGAATCTCAGGACTCATTGCACTGTAGGATGTTTGAAGGGAAGGGTATATGTTCTGCTGACATGTCTGTTGATTTCCTGTGCTAATCCCTTTGGGCGGCTTGCCCATCTTTGGTAGCAAGGGCTGAAGAGCAATCAAGTCATTGGAGGCCACAATTGCTACTAACCCAGGAGACTAGGACTGGGCTTCCCAACAT